CAGGAAACAGAGAGAAAGATTTGAATAGCTTTGGCTGCACTTTTGAAAAGGAGTACTTAGTTTCTGTAGATGATCCAGTTTATCTTCCAATTCAACCCTTCTCCCTTCAGTAAAATACTGTTTAACCCATTCGATTCATTGCTGACAGATGAGGCAAAAGCCTGGTTAGTTTTCCCAAATTTCTGGGTGGGAGACCAAGCAGGAGTCATTAACAGACTCCTACAACCTTAATTCAGCCTTGTGCTAGTCAAAGCCTGGCAAAGGGTTTGGAAAGGCTTCTCTGCTCTGCCATGAGGGCAGCTTTCTGGAGGGGACAGTTCCTGAGGGAATTATGAATTGACTTGGACTCTCAACTCTTCTTGAACGTGGCAGATTCCTGTCTGCACTTGCTAACAAGTACGGATTTCAGCGGTTGTAAATCCTTCATGAAAGCTATTGAGCACAAAATATATTCTAGACAGCACACTCATCAGTGAGAGTGGTGAGATGCTACAGCAACTTCATAATGACAAAGTTTGTTTATTTTTAACATGTATCCTCAGAGCTCTGAAACAAAACCTCAGAGCTTGGTGAAGCTCACTGACTCCAGGATGTTTCAAAATACTAAGTAGTTTGTGTGTTTACTTCTGGCTCCTGGTTGCATTTGCCTGTTCAACAGTGAATATTATAGTCACAGCTTCTTCCTACCTGACAATTTTGAATCTTTGTTTTCCTCCCACTTCTCTCTTTCTCTCTGTCATGTCACATGCCCCTGGCACTCCTCACATTGTAGAGCTCTTTCCTGAAGATTTCTGACAACTAGCTGTCTGCTCTCATCTCTTTGACCAGACTAGTTCTCTTCCTGGTGCACCTTTGCTCGTGTTAGTGACTAATTGCATTCTTTAGCCTTTGCGATCTAAATAAACAACCTCTGATAGTTCTTCACAGCCGTGCCTGATGACAGGTCTCTCATCTCCTGATGCAACCACCTTGCCGGGTGTACTTGCAGTGCTCCTCCTTCACTGCTTCTACTGCTCATGGGAGACACTCCTCTCATGCTGTGCTCTAAAGTCTTTCCCTGTTACTTGATCCCTGGCAATTAAAAATACATATATAGCGGGTCACTTTGTGCATGCAAAATTAGCTTCCATATGCTCCCTTCTGCTGGGCTACTCTTCTAATGATTTTTTTGTCTAAATTAGGTTGTAAGATTCTTCAAGATCATATCCTCTTTTAATCTTGTAAAGTTCTCTAGCACCATTCTTGTAAAAAGAGATCTGGTTTTGACTGCTTACAATGGGATTACCCGTTTTACCATCTCTTAACTGAGAACTGTAGGATTTTCAAGGGCATAGGTCTTTGATCTTTGAGTAAGTTTGATTTGTAAATGTAATTTTCTTAAAGAGCAGATTTAGATTTTAACTTCCACATTTATTTCTTCCATCATTTAAAACTGTAGCAGGTTTTCAGGACTGAAGTTCATTTTTTTCCTCGCAAAGAACTTCATAAGCACCTGGAGTTTTGGTTTTATGTGATGTAACGGGTTTTACCTCAGGTAATTTCGTTTTCAATATTTTATCTTTACATATAAAACATGGTTAATATTAAAGAGAAGTAAAATTGTAGTGGTGCCTGGTATGCATAATTTATATCACCTGTTCTTCTGTTTATTTCACAGTCTATTTTTTACTACAGTGTTCAGTTTCTGCCTTCAGGCAGAGTGTTCATACAAATCTAATCTCTGTAGTTTCTGCTACGAAACTTAGACATCTTTAGAGGGTCTTAAACTTCTTTTCATTGATTATTGTCTTTCTGCATTTTTATTATTGCTGAAAGCAAACAAAAGCTTATTTAAAATGGTACCTAACTTAGTAAATCTATAAGAAAAAACACCATCTGTATTTTCTTAAATTCGTTTGAAAGTAGATAAAAACTAGAGGGTTGAAAAGCACTGTTCTTAGCAAGTAGCCCTTTTGGGATTATCCAGGCCTAATACGATCTGAATAGAAGGGAACATTTTGTCTTGTTCTGTTTGTATGTTTAGTTTTGTTTCTTACTGGTATGTCCTCCCATTGCTGGCTCTTCACAAGTTCATAAGAAGGTTCTGTTAAATCGAATTTTGGAACAGGGAAACCAGGAATGGCATTGTGCAGATGGAAGCCGAATGTCACCAACCAGCTGTTAACATCTGAAAGAGATTTATTAGGAAAAAAGGGAAAAAGATTAGAATTGTTCTATATTTTGCAGTCATACCATTTTTATATGGAATAGCTTTTGGCATAGTTGATTTCTGCTTGTGACATGAAAATTATTCAACAGTCTTCATTTTGATATGTATGGATTTAGATTTATGCTACAGCTAGAATAGCAAGCCTATACAGAAAACTTGAAGTTCTAAACTTACAAGAAAACTTCTGTTCTACATAAGAGTTGCACCATGCTCGTTTGAAAGGCGTTGCAGGTTTCAGCAATTCTGAAGGCCTCAGTGACTTCCACAGCAACTACAGGAGCACAGTTAAAGTGAGATTTCCTTCTAATACAGCCCAAACTAATTGGGATTTCATGGTCAGGCTGAACACGCTTTATGTTGCACCTTCATCATCAATACTTCAAAAAAAAGCAAAAAAGTACTGCAGAGCACATCTTGTCCTTTTGTTACCTATGTATTCTTGTAATGTCTTCAAACTACCCCTGAAATAACACCTATATGATCAATTACCTTTTAAATGATTTGGCAGGTATTTTATGTTGATTCAAGAGGAATCTTCCCCTCTTCAAGATGAAGACCGATGAAATTAAAAGCTAATGAAATGTATTACAGTTGCATCAGTAAGCAGACAGGATACTAAATTAGCATTAGATAACATTATTTATGATACATTTTATGTTCTGTTAAATAAACTAGGGATGCCAACAATTAATTAGTTAGCAATTGTTGGGCAAGAATGGGTGCTCTGCTTTGTTTCTGTCTTTCTACCCTATCTTTCACAAATACTAACCTTAGCAGAAGTTTGCAGAGTGCTGCTTACCAAGTCTAGTAGTTTCCATTTAAGAAAACCCCAAATAAGTGGAACAAGGAACCAAATTTTTCCCAATGTTAAAAGAATATTTTCCATAAAATAATTTCTAACCTTTCCAGATAAATGATACGCCTCATGAGTCTCTGCATCTAAAACTGCAAGTCAGCCACATTACTAATTGCAATGATAACCTTCTATAAGCAGTGTTGGTATATGTATTCCATACATCAAAGATGTTAAGAAAAGAACTAAAACTGTATTTTGAGGGCAATTTTTGAACCAAGTGCATCCTTTTCAATGCCACAAAGAATCTGATTGCAACTGCATCCACTACAGCACATGCTGCTAGAAAAGGACAGAATCAAAGGCCTGTCACTGTCTTTGTTCCCAGGCAGCCTATTAGTTAGTTAGTTAGTTAGTTAGCAACCCTGTTAATAGCTGCCATTTGTTAAATTAATGCAAACCCACTTGATGCCCAGGATGCTTTTCTGAGTGGTAGTCTCACAACTTGTAAGTGGGGCTGAGCCCCTCCTGTAGTCTGGCACTGTCTGTGTAAAATATTTCAGATTATTTACATCTATTCAAATACGAAAATTCAAATGTATCATCTGAGCCATGCATTTCTCAGAAACTTCTGGTGACATGCAATCAGATTTTTTTATATGTAGAATAACAGAAAACACTACACGTCACTAACTATAGACCCACAAAAAGCATATAGGTTCCCTAAGAACTCAGTTATACAAGAAGCGGCATGTTAGTAGCTTTTTGTGGCCAGAAGAAAAATTCACACTCCTTTTTCTATATCCTGCTCCTTCCCTGCTCCTGGCTGTGTACTCATTACTTTGTGCTGGCCCTGGAGCTTATTGCACTTCTCCTTCTTAGCCAATTTACCTCAGTAGCCTTGCAAAAACCTACCCTGACAAATATCAGCCAACTTCCAGTGAGTATTTTCTGCCATGTTAATGAGTTAAACTGGTCACAGAAAGGCCCTCCTGCCCTTGCTACCTTACAGTCTCACTCCCTCTTGTCTTTTGTCTTTCTGGTCCATGCATATGCACTTTTTACTGCTCAGTAGCACAGAGCAGTGAAGAAGCCTGACTCTAATCCACACGTAAGGAGATTCTCATGAACGGTCTTGAGGGGTTCTTACTCCTGTACTTGCTCAAGGAGTCTATTTTTTTCGTTATAAGAGCACCAGGTAATGCCTAACAGTATTGGAAGGAGAACCTAGGGCTCCTCTTTCCTCTCGCAGTGGACTGAGATCTCTAGCTGAGGCACCTTGCGTTACAGTTCAGTCAGTAGCAGAGGAAGAGATGTGTTCCACTGGTAGTCCAAAATGTACTTTGGAAAACCCAACCCCTCTGTATACTGAGATGCTCTGAATTATGTTTTTGCATCAACAGTCTAATATTAAAGCACCATAAGGACTGCGTAGGGCACAAGGTTTAGATTTAGTTACCTAAACCTGAAAGCTAATAATGGCCTGTGGATTTTAATCTCTTACGCAGGTACCTAAATCAATGTCTAAAGCTAGATGAGATATTTTCCAGATCTCCCATTTGCTATTTCACTATTCCTGATAAGCGTGTTTGCTGTAATTATTCTCACTGTTAAGTGCTTAACGTTTCCTCATGAAGAACTTTTCCAAATAGGACATATTTAGGTATTTCACCAAAAGTGTGAATTCCAGTCTAAATTGGATGTCTATAGGTCCAGCACCCCCAAGCTAAAATCAGTTTGTTGATCTGGTTCTAAACTCCAAGTACTTTTCTGAACAGTTATCTTTCCTGACAATTGCTTTACTAACCTTCCCTAGACAATATCCTCAGCCTGTAACCCAGATAATCAGATGCCAGATTACGAGAACACAGAAAGGCAAATTTTTAAGCAAGTGGGAGAAAGTCTTGCAATTAAATAATCTTCTTTTACCTGTGATATAATCCTTCACATCATGTATTTTACTGGCTGGATTGTTATTTCTAAACATGTACAAATTAAAAGGAGCTGGATCCTTCCCAATTCTCTTCCAGATTTCAATATCGGGTGTTGTCCACCGGCCTGCCAGTATGTCATAATCTCTTTCTCCAAAGTGGACTAGCTTGGTCAGTGGGTCGTATAAGCCTCCGTGGAATCCGATTACCAGCTGGAAGTCAAGGTTAGAGTCGAAATAGATCTCTCCATAAGCAGTGTATTGGATTTGTTTAAGCATGAGACCGTTGCTACTGAAAACAGCCAGTGGTGTCCCCGTATTGTCTGATGCAATGTAAAACTCGTCTCCGCTGCTAATTTCCATGGCAAAAAGGTGTCCTTGCAGATCATAGTAAAGAGATGTGATTTCAGAACTCGAGTGGTTATATACATGAGTTATCCTGGTAGGGTAGGTAAGGTCTGCATAAAAAAACTGGAGATGCTGTCCAAGGCTAGTTTTACTGGAAACTCGTCGTCCAAGTCCATCGTAACGGTAAATCACCGTCCACCCACTGCCTTTGCTATAAACTCGAGTAAGAAGGCCCTTTGAACTGTATTCAAAGATTTCAGTACCCCTCTGACGCAGAAATCCGTCTTCATCTAATCGGTACTGAACATCACCTAGTCGAGTTATTCTGTCTCTCAGGTCATAGCGAAGCGGCGTCAAACGGGCGCTGCTACTGGGGTTGAGCAAGTGGAGGTTGCCGTTCAGGTCATAGTTGTATCGCCACATTATTTTTTCATTCAGATAAACTGTCTGGAGCTGACCATCCACATCATATTCGTAAGCATATTTCGTGGTGTTGGCAAATGGCCCGATCTTAATTTCTCTTTTTGTCACTCGTCCCATGTTATCATACTGAATTGTAATCCAATACATTAATGACCGAAATATTTCATACTGAATTTCCTTGATGCGGCCATGTGCATCAAAGTGTTTTGTGTAGGTCATTACAGCTGTTGAAATGATCTGGTTAATATCATAATATATAACTCCAAATTTTCCAAATTGTTCAACTTTGCCAGAGATATCATCAAACTGGTAGAGATCAATAGGCAATGGGGTTTCATTGATGACACCTTGCATGCTAGTCACTCTGAAGCTATTGTCATAGCTGTAGTCAAATCGGGCATTTACCATTCCATCTTCGCTAAAGCGGAAAATCTGTCTGTCAATCAGTGGGCCAATTTGCCTGTATCTAATGGTGCAGATAAAACCATCACTTTGGAGGTTTACTGTTTTCAGGACTCCTGCTGTCTCATCATAAGTGAAACTAACTCTTGTACTATCATATAAAATTTCTGAGAGCTTTGTCTGCCGTCTGTACTTGAATAATACTCTTCGGCTTGTCCCCAGGAAAGCAGTTTGAAGGAGCTGCCCTTCTTCATTGTAGTCCATTATAACAGAAGCATTACTTTCTGGGGGGTTGTATATATTCCGGTAATAGCCAATGGAGCGGATAGTCTGCATGGTATGACGAGCAACACTGGGCATGGTGACAGCAGAAAGCCGATCCAACAAATCATATTCGAAGATATACTGCCGTTGGCTATGAAGCAGAAGAACCATTGACTGAAAATTAAGAACAGATTTTTAGTATGTGACAAATGGTGGAGCACCCGCCTCCCCCCCTCCCCCCCAAATACCGATGCTATTTCTTCACAAAAATGTGACATTCCCACTTGAGAAAATTATCTCCTCTTTAATTGAGTTATCCTTGACCTTACATGTTGTTAACATCTCCCTGCCTAATTTACTTGGATGCTTAATTGTAATTAGTAGTTCCACATTCATAATTTGCTACTTGTTATGACTATATCACTCTTTTATCAAGCACTCACAGCTAAACAGCAGATTGTCAATGGATTCAGATAAGTCATGTTTAATATGGGAAGAAGTAAAACTGTCTTAAAGCCATTAACTCACGAGGAGAACAACATATGGGAGATACAATTTCTTCCCTACAATTAGAGATGATTTTGAAGAATGTGAATAGCCTGAGATCCCTGAATACTGTGTTCTTGTTCTGTAAGCTTTTAAGACATAGGCAAAAAAATTGTTTGATTATTTGTATCAAAAGGAGCTACTTGGAATTATTCTGACATTTTTCTGATGCGTAGCTATTATGTATCATAGGTCTTGATTAAATTATGTCTGCAATGACTAGTAAACAGTATTTGCTGAGCAACAGCTTCAACAGAAATATATTTAAACCCCAGAAAGAAATGGATTCTCTTTTTGCATAGCAGGCATGAGATCTCACAAGGGGGATTTTCACAGATATTTCTAGAGGGAGAGCTATCACTCAGCAATCGTTGTATATAATGAAGATTTGCCTATCATTTATTTTGATGCTACAATGTATAGCAAGTACAAATTGACAGCTGTGATTATTTAGAAACAAGAGCTTTTCTTGGTAGTGGAAAAAAACAACAGTGAAGAATTTACAAACAAATTATTTACAACTGAATTACATTGCACAGATCTAGTCCCTGTACCTTATTTTAAGTGTTAAGATAAAAGGTAAATACAGATGCTTCTTGTTAGTCAGTGACCTAAATAATTTAAAACCACATCAATTCCTAGCAATTAGCTACAGCGTGATTACATATCTATTGTATAAAACATTCCCCTAGGAATCATGTGTTGATAGAATAATTGAAATGTGCTTCTACTACCTATTGTTGCTTTGTATGCAGCAGTCAGATGCTGCAGAATTTCAGCACATTCCAAGCATTTTTTAAAAGCTGAGTGTTCTTTACCTTTTCCAAATATGTGTAACTCCAAGTTTTCCCATCAGCAAACACTCTAGACACTATCCTTCCCTGTCCATCATACTCTATTTTTTCACTAGTCGTCCCTCGCTGTATGCTGCCTATTTGACCTGTGGATGAATAGGTAACGTTGACAGCCATCAGCTTGCTGCTCGGTAGCCACAGGGTGGGGTGCCCTGACGTGTCGTAGGCAATCCTCAGCAGAAATTTACGGTGGTCATCGTAGATCTTTTCTGTCTTTGTGGTTCGATCAAAGTCAACTGAAAGGAGGTTTCTGCCATTAACCTTTTTAAAGCAAACAAAATGACACAGTAAATCATGCTGCTCAAACCCTAGCCACCTATTATTTCCACAAATGTAGCTATTCTTTAAATACCATTTACAGTGATTGATTTGCTGTGTGCGTAAATTATTTTAGCAACTTCTTGATCTAAATGTGAGGCATACATTAGCATCTACTTTAGAAGGTCTCATTGTATGAAGAGATGGCCCAGAATTTGTTGCAATGTGTTCTTTTTTCATGCTTAGTCAACTGTTAAGAAAATACTGAAAGATATGCACTGAAAACTTCTGTAATAAATGCGGCCGCTTCAGCAAGCAAACTACTTCTTTTGTAGGCAGTCGAAAGGATATCTAGCAAATTATTGTCAAAACATATTCCCAGCAACCACTTGTCCAGTTCATAACAATTACACTAAGAACGAACTGAATCGTAATCCTCCACAGCAAGTGTTTTTCAGAACAGTAAATACAAAATTAAGATCTTCAAGGGCACGTTAAATCTTCAGATTAAGATTCAACAGTTTTTAGAACATAGGCTTTCCCCTTCTGGATCAATTGGAAGTTTAACTTGGTATATCATCCGCTGCTGTGATGCATTTGTGAGGCCGAAATCCTCAGTAGAGGATTATGTCTTTCGCCTCGTTAACCATACATGACTGGAGGACTACTGAACCACTGAACAAAAAGTTATAAGTGCTTGAAGTTTATAACTATTTTGATTTGAAATTAAAGCCTTAGCTTAGATACTTTTATGTTGAAAACTATTATTTATATATGTAAACTGGATAGTGGTGGATAGTGATTTCTATGTAATACTTTCACATTGAAATCCACACCCCCCTTTTAGTGTTCTAAATATGCTAACTTTCAGTTTCGTTGAATCAGCTCTCATTTTTGTATTTATGAAAGGAAAATGTCTGGTTTTCTTTTCCCACATTGGTATCTTTGCATTTGTCTGTTCCTCCTCTGCATTGAAGTGTTTTTTAGTGTTCTCAAACAGGCCCCTAGGATTTCTTTGTTCGCCCGTAAACCATTTCTCTATCATCTGCTAGGTCTTTTTAAAGTGATTCCAGGTCTGGGTGGAACACTGATAACTAAGATTTTTCAATACTGTATTTTGCTAACATATGGGAAGTAGGGGACAAATGGACATACAATTCCTTTTCAAATACTTGATGCATACATTACAAAGAGGTAAAGAAACATGGCTAAATCACATTCAGAAAAGAACAAGAGAATAGATATCCTGACCGAAGAAATGACTGGAGATTTTTCCATTTTTCAGGGCTGCATATTCAAAAATCCATGTATCATGGATGTTGGTACTTATACCCTGAGGCTGATAAGCTTCTAAAAGATCAATATAAATTAGATTCTTGATTATTGGCATAAAAAGTATTGAAGTGCTGGTGATGGGTCATATAGGCAAGTATGAAAAAGAAATCCTACAAATGCTCAGTTTTGCTTATCTGTCTGTCTATCTATCTATGTTACCTCTCTCTTTTTTAATATGAAATCACTGGCATGAGAACAATCTGCACTATCAAATTAGGAACAAAAATCATGTTCTCATGTAAATCTTCTAAGTAAGGAACACAAAGTCTAGCAGACGCAGAATAGCTACTTTATCTATTTAATGAGCCATCAAATGTTATTTAAATATACTTTGAAAAATTAATGCTACAAGACTGATTCTAGAAGAAGGTTAAACTTAACTATGAAGCATTCCTGTTCATTTCCTTTTTGTTGTTTTTTTTGGACTTCTTTCATTTTCAGGTAGTTTTTGTTTAAATTTTCCAACATCAGGTATTCACTCATTTGCCTAAATTCACTCTTAAATCTTGTTCATCTCCAGCTTTTATTTCTCAGCCTCTTCCACACAGGCCTGCACTCATCTCTGCATCTTCCTGCCTGTTCTTTTGCTTCTCTGAATTTTTTCCCTCCCTTTCTCCCCATCTTCCCTTCCTTATTTTACATTTCATTACAATTTTTATTAATTTTCTTGCCTACCTCTCGGGCTTAGCCACTGAAGTGAGAATGGACACTTGTGATTTCTGAATTGGCAAAGAGGGGAAGGTGGTTTTATGGTTAAGGCAGATGTCCAAGCAATTGTGGTCAATTTCTTGGCTAAGTACATCCTTCCAGTGTAAATTGCAGCAAAGTACTTAATCTGGCTGTCTCAGCTAAATGGGATAATAACATCTCTTGCCTTCTCACTTCCCATCTGTCTGGTCTCTGTAAAGGCAGGATACGAGGGGAAAGAAAGGCAATGCCTCTTTCTCTAGCCAGATTCAGGCTTCCAGATTCTGCTGACAGAGCGCCTGCATTCAGACATGCGAGCTTTTGGTGAAATTTTGGCTGCGCTTGCATAATCTCATAATACAGATGGCAATTAAAATAACAAGAAGTTTTGGTGATAGAGCTTCTCTCCTTGGACAGTATGGGGCTGGAATAACATATGTCAGCTAAAGTAGTGCCTTCAACTGAAGCATTTCTTAACAACAGCTCTGCTACTAAAATGCTTTTACAGCAAAACTTGAACGTTTTTATTGTGTCCAAGACAGTCACGCTCCAAATATATTTGAAACCTCTGGGCTTCATTATGATAAAAACAGTAATTCAGGAAATTTTCAATAAAGAAACACTTAACGACACAAAACTGAGTCTCTTGACAGTCTTGATCTACTGTCCTGCTACGTTTCAGTAACTTAAGTGTCCATCTATCCTGCTCTGCTTCAACTCCTGGTTTTCTTTCCAATAAGAAGCATGGAATCTGACTGTGATTCCCCCATTAGAAGTAGGAGTATATTGCTGTGCCTTGCAGAGGGATTCAAGAGGTAATGTGAAAACTGGGGACCTTGGTAGAGCTTGGAAGTTGTCAGGTCTCAGGAGGAGGCAGCGCAAACTCTTCCTGTGAGCTCCCTCGACGACGTTACCTGTATACTCTGGGTGCATCCCTTGAGGCAGAGCTCATACCAGTTCCTTTACTTGAGACCCTTGTGAGTGAGGGCCTGCCTGGCCTCAATACCAATGGCCTAAAAAGGCTCTTTCATGTAGAGGACTGTCAGGACCTCTGCCAAAGGCCAGCCTACAGACCAAACGTGCAGGTCCAGGGACAAAACTAGCTTATCGAACAATTACAAAACAAGTCTGAACTAAAGTTAAGATTGACAGAGGATTGTTGAGTTAAGGGAAGATGACATAATTCCTAATTGATTTCTTTATAAAGACTACTAGTAGTGGCTAGAACCAATACAAGATAGAAAACCAAGAGAGTATCTGAGAGTGTACTTTGTAATGTTAGATACCGCATATATATAGTGCAGTGAAAGTGTCGTATATATGGGTACATTTACTGGCAATACATTTTGTCACTATTTTTTGTCTACATTTGTCTTCTTTGCAGCAAAATGTTACTGACATATCTGTAGATGGAAATTATGAACTCCGTAAGTTATTTCTGTTCTTATTTCTGTTGTTTTTTTCCTCTACTTTCCTACATACCCCCTACCCACCCCCGAGCGACATTTCTGTAATATCTTCCCATGTAAATCAATTTCAAAAACCTTCTTTTTTTTTTTTCTTCGCTGACAAGTTTCTTTACTTTTTTTTCAGGCATTTTTCTCTTTTTAGCCCATATTCTCCACCTGCCCTACTTCTCCCATTTGTATATACACTTTTAATTACTCCTATTTTATCCTAATTATAATCTCTTACTTTCCCCTCCATCTTGTTAAATCTTTCCCTCTTCTCTGCTGTTCCTTTTTTCCTGTTAACTCTTCCAAGTTAAAGTTGCCCATGACATTTCTTTTACCTCCTCTGCACTTGAATGCCAAAATTTTGCTTCACTTTTGAGAACTGGACTCGTGGTGATTTGTTTCACTGTCAAACCCAAATGCCATCGGTATGGTTATTTTATTTTCTCTTGGGCTTCTTTCACAAATGAATTGGCAGGTGTATTATCCCACTGTGCTATGTGATGACATGCCTATGAACCAGAACCACAAGGATGAGCGCCAGAAGCATGGCTTCTTTTTGCTCTTCCTTATCCATGTCAGACAGCAGCCATAGCTAGGTACAAGTATGTTGTTCTTAAGCAGCAGCTGCTGTGCATAATCATTCTTCCTTCTTGGAGAAAATCCATTCCTCTGGCTGAGCAAGTGGTAGAGAGGAATATAAGGTGCATGACAGGATTCCCTCCTTTCTCATCCCGAAGGAAGATATAAAATATTTTAAGATTTAAAATGGCATGTTACCTCTTAGAAGTCAAGTAATCTAAAATTACTTACCTTCCTTTGATATACTGCCTAGGCCTTATTTTAAAGAACTGAGTTCAGTTCTAATAGTAAGTCAGACCTCTGATGTGGTCTTGAAATGGTCTCCTGGCAACCCAATTTTAAATGCTTAATCTATGTTGTCTTTCCCAAAGGGCTGTCATAAATCATAGTTTGCTTCCTACTTATATTTCACTCACTATATAGGAAGAAGAAATGCCAACAAAATGGTAAAGACATATGTTAGAGGAATATGCCGTACACATGCACACACAGTTAAACCCTTTCTACCATATGTAAGTATTAGTACAATTTTTATTTAAAATAAAAAAGAAAGAAAATCCTAGGACTGTGCTAACTTAGGGTAGAGTAATTTAAAACAAGATTCAAAATCAGGTGTGTGAATTCAGTACCTGAAACAAAACCAGTGAAGGAAAGCAGAAAATTATTCTTTCACCCGGATTCATTCCAATTCATTCCAAGCTAAAAACAACAGTTTAAAGTCCACAGAAAAGAGCAATTAAGAAGGAAAAACAGCCAATAAATGAAGTAATAAAAGCAAGTATTTCCAGCTCTACAGTAAGCTTGTCTACAGTAAATATTCTGTGGCTGTTGGATGGCAATACCTACAGGAATGTATTTACATTTCCTCTCACTTAATGAGAATGCAGTACATACCACGCACGGTTGTGTGCTTACCCGAAGCTTTCGGCCAAACACGTTGACTTTTCCCTGGGTTTGCTCTTTCCGGAATCGCCACTCCACCAGGTTCTGCCCGTTCTCCCCAGGGAGGGTCATGTTTCTCTTGGCCACTGTTGGGTTGGCAGTGCCAGCCAACACGTGCGGTTCTGTCTGGTAGTGTGAGTCCAGGCCGCTGGCGTACAGGATTCTCAGTGAGCCGTCATAACCAATCTGGTAACTGTTTCTTAACTGATCTGAGAAGGCAAAAAAGAGAAGCACAGGTTACCGACATGGGTTAAGAGTCTGCCTTTGTCCTGCACACTTCATGCAGTACGTGCATGTAACATCTTGACTTCATGTAACTGACCCAATGGCAATAAACACCCAGGGTGAGATTGGTAGGAATATCTGTATCACATGAGAGCACAAATGCCTTTGGGACCTATCTTCAAAGTCGCTTAAAGACTTAAAAAAATCCCACCCTCAGAGTATATTCTTTGGACTGGCAGAAAATACATTTTCTGCTCTTTCATTAGGCATTTTTGGCCTAATCCTAAGCATACTATGACTACTGACTTTTGCAAGGATGTGGCTGCTGGGACGTCACATGCTATTTTAAAGCTAAAATCTCACTTCAAGCTATTTCTACACCTATTTCCCTTTCAGTCCATTTCTCTCTCCAAGATTCCCTTTCAATGCAAAGTAGGTATTGTGACTACGTCTCATAGCTGTTTACAAAAGCTCTTTGGTTAGAAAACATATTTAATTCTACTTTCTTTGCAACTCCTTCTTTCCCTGAACAGTTCTTTCTATATATGTATAAAAACACTTATGTATCACCCCTTCCTCCAAACACTACGCTTCTAAAGTTTCCCTCTAACGCATCTAATTTGAGCTGCTTGTACTGTAAGAAAACAGTTTTCAGATGAGTATCTGCTGAGAAATCTTTTGTTTACAGTACCTTGAACCATGGTATAGAAAGAATCAATTGATGACAAGTTGGAAGTGATGCTGACGTCTTCCTCTCTGCTGGATGACTCAATGTCCACTGTAATGGCCCTTTCCATTTCCCCATGAAGGTTAGTGACAACTCCAGTTGGGAATGTAACGTTTGTTAGACGGCCCTCGCTATCGTAGCTAAAAAAAAGGAAAAAAAGGAGTCCAGAAATGATACAGAGCAGGAACAAATTGTTTTCATTTACAAGCAAAATGAACAAAAATACCAGCTACCCATATTGTTAAGGCACGTTTGTTTTTTTGTGCATGGGATAGGCACAGCAAAGACTTCAAACATGCTTTGAAGTAGTCAAAAGACTGCTTAACATACAGGAGCCTCAATGGTGATAGCAAGAGCAAACAGATGGATCTTCAGCTCTGCATATTATTCTTTGAAGTGTGACCAGATCCTGCTGCACATCTAATTCACCATTTCAAAGGGAGCATATTTATCAGTGCTAAATTCCGTAGCATTCTGTACTCACTCCCTATTATTGAACTAGATTTTGCTGTTATTGTAGGAATTCTCAAAATTTTGCATAAAAAGTGTATCATCTTAGTAAGAGTGTCTCTTGGGCCTTTCTTATTCAATGATTATGCAGACCACCTGCCCTCCTGTTCCTGAGTGCTTAACATCCCTTGTATTAATAAGAGGAAGAATCTGGGGTAATATTTAATCTACTTAAGCTGCTTGTAGCTGGAAATCAGAACAGCTAGCATATATAACTCGTTAACTGCCTGTGGATCATAGTTTGAGAACTGTGGCATAAGCCATGCAGGAGATGCTTTTTTTCTTCTGGCTCTACTGACATTTCTTTAAACCAACAGCTATATATACATTTAATATGAATAGGTAGATACAATTTCTGCAATTGAAGTAGACCTATGATGTCTAAACCATGTCTTTTCCTGTGCTGTGTTAGGTATACTCCATTGGTACAAGACCCGAGACCTCGCTCACATCCAAACATGCACTGTGGTCACAGTATAGAGAGGTAAAGCATTATATGAGCGTCAGGTCATAAAACTGCCTTTAAGATTAGCTCTTCCAGTACTACAGCCTGGATTTGTCAGCCTAGGTGTTGAGCTGAGGCTCCTTGTTCAGAAGTACAGCCTGCCTGTACCTGCAACAGAGAGAAACAAGCATCCCAGGGGTGATGCCAGGCTCACATATGACCTGTTTGCTCTCAGGAGTTTTCCATCCCTGTCCTGTGATCGTGTAGTGGGAAACTGAAGGCAGCTTTAGTCCCTTAAAGTAACTAGGACATGACCCTGCAGGTCGGCACAGTGCACTAGACATTTCATGCTTACAATTATCATCAAAATTGCTCCTTCTGGGAAAGAAACACAAAAACAACCAAAAAAACCCCACCAAAAAAAGCCCCCAGCATATCACTGAGGCTACAGAAACTCTTTTTCTTAAATTGAGAGAATTAATTCCAAATAGTTTTAACCCACAACACACTAACTTGCTCTGAACAGCATGAGTACCACACAGCATTGCTGTAACTGAAAGGATTAGGTTAAGAAATGTTTTTTTCCAGTTTGCTTACTCTGTAGATTTGACAGCTTTTTGCATACAGTCATTTCCATTCTTTTAACACAGTTGATTTCCTTTGTTTATATAAGACTTTCACTTAGCAACAGGAAAAAGAAAAGAATGTTTAAAAATCAGGAAACATACTGCAAGCCAGGGAAATCAAGTGGGGAAAGTTATTTTTTGAAGTTCAGTACATTTCAAGATAGGGGGGTTTCTTCCAGCGTGTCTCTAACCCTAATTTTTGGCTCTTTTTCACATTCAGGACTTGGCAAGCTGAGATACTGCATTTAGGTGGGAGACCGGAACAAACGTACCAACGTTCCTTGTGCATGAATGTGACTGCTAGCCTATTCATGACCTTCACTCTCATTCCTCAGTTCCATAAACGTATTTTATTTTCATGCACAACTTCCCTTTTCAACTCCCAGGGGAACGTATATTGTCCAAGTAGTGTCCTTTTCTATTTTCTGCTTTATGTTTGAAAATGGTATCATACTATTTTGTTGGGAATTACCTGTGTCCTTTGGATTCCAGTAGCCAAGTACTGGTCTTTATTTCAAACAATGTTTACTAAAGCCACAGAAGGTTAGATTTCCCCGAAAGAAGAACTTTTCACCTTTTGAATCGCAATATTTGTGAGAAAGTAATTATCACATTTCTGAGTATACCACTTGAGTTGGAAAATGCTACACATCTGCAGTGTTCAGTACAGTGTGTGGCTTCACTGCAGGATGCAGCGCTGAATATCGCTGTTCTTGTTTTATGCATTCTTGCTGCCACATTATTATTTTTTGACTCTGTGTCTGTAGTTCCTGAACTGGTCTCTTCTTTCACAAATACATGAAAGCACATCATAAGCCTGAGATAAGCAGCTAATATTATTACAGTGGGGGAGAGTCCAAAGATCCGCAAAATATCATGCTACACATTCACGTTCTTAAAAACATGACTTTAAAGAAAGAATCTTAAAAGCCATGATCGCTTGGTTCGGGCGTCCTAGTGCAAGAAGAAAATGTAACTGAGACGTGAAAGGTAAGAATCGGATTTCTCATACTTTTATAGCCAGGAACAAAAAGAAAGAAGGGAAATAGGCCTTTCTACAATTTACTACATATTTTATTCTATGACGGATTGTAATTGTGTCCTTCATTTTGTTCACAGCACATCGAATACTACACTTACTTTGTACTTGCTATCTTTTTGCCGACAATGAAAGCCTTATCAATGCTCAGCATAGCAACATCACTCGTACCTTTGGGCATTCCTCTGCCATTTTTCTTATTACATCCAAATATCTTTGCATTCTGCTGCCAAGGTGAATTTATTCATCCAAGATTGTCAGTTTTAGACAGAGATTTCTTTTATCTGCCCAGTGTTCTAATATTGAAATTGCCCTAAAAGGAGTGAGATCCTGAGGGCGAGCGCCTATGTTTGGCATTTCACAGCCTCTTTGATCTTTTCATCCAAACACAAGCGCAGGCACACGTGTTATCACAGAGCCCTCTGATCTTTCGCCTATGCCAGGCTCCACAAAGCAAAGCCGTTCAACCAACCTCTTCAATTCCTCAAGAGCAAGTCGCACATAAACTTTCCAAGAATCTAAACTGGAAACTTGCTCACTGGGGCACCTTATGTGCTTTAATCTCATCAAGTTATTTCCACTTGCATTAATGTAATTATCTTCATATTTGGTCAATAACTACAGAAGACAACAGCAGGGACAGCTGCCACCACCACTAGCTGAAGTTCCCCTTAGATCAAATTCTTTTTCTTCTCTAGGATGATCTGCCACTGCCAGATAGTTTTCCTCTTCTGCAGTGAGAATTTCTCCGAGATAATGATTATCAGCTTCCCAGATTCTTGACCTCTGGCTCTTCAGCTGCTGGAAGTCTCTCTTCCATTGTTCATCTCCTTTAGTTTTAATTACATTCCTTCCCAGACCATTTTCTGTTCTAGTCTATGTAGGACACTTCACTTTGCAGTGATACCTTCCTGGTAAGCCTTGTCACAGATGGAAATGCCCTGCTTTATTTCTGACTTGTTTCTCATGCGCGTTGTATCTTAGTTTGGAGCACATTTAGCTCAACCCCAACTTGCAGAGCATCATTAATGTTTTATATCAGAAGTTACTTCAATGTAAAATAGCGAGCTGTAGAAATGAAGTGTATAGTAAAGGTTGCTGCTAAAGGCAATTGCTGAGTTATGACTGATACTGTTTTTCCACAGACCACTGCAGCACACTCCCTTAACAAAATAAAATCGGTACTTTTTTTTTTTTTTTGCTATTGTAAAGATGTCAGGTTGAAGAGCAAGGCACGCTGGTTCCTGCGCCTTTCAGGTAACAAGACATACAGTGCAAATGTGTATTATGTATTTCTTTAAAGACTGGTTACAGATTATACTGTTAGTTGGGATACTGTAATAGAGAAATGAGGCATGAATGCATTTCATAATATAGACATGTATAATTTTGACAGCAAAATGAAAAGTACCGTTACATTCTCTCTCACACATCAGGCATTTCCTCTATGCATCTAATGGCTAAAAAATTTATGGAACATCGCCCTGCTTGTTTCAAACTGCTTGTTGGAAGCCTTGTATACCAAGGTGCTGCTTCTTGGCAGGTGAGAACAGAAGGTTCAAAGTTGACTTTCAGAGGTGCAGCGTGCTGTTGTTTTAGGTATGTGCTCACCATGTTAACGCATACTGAAAAATCTGTCCTAACCTGGCAATGAAATGTCTCCTTCAGCTTGTTGAGGCCATTAAGTTCACATTTACTGTGTCAGTTTGCAAATATGTTCTTTCACTTGTATTCAGCCTCCCGTAGCATACTGCAAGTTTAGTCCCTCCCAAATAGTGCATTCACAGTTGGAAAACTACAGCAAAGAGAAGCCACCTTGATAGGGTGTCACCGTATGGCTACACCAGTAACAAAATCATTATCTTGCTGATCAAAAGGAAACAAACCCAGAGTTTATATACCATCACTTTTGTTATCGTTTCATCACCCATGTGAAGCTCTCCTGTCCTCCGCTGGTTTAAAATAGGGTGGCGACTTACTGGGAGCTCTAGTTCTGACCATCCGTAACTGTTATGTGGGTTGTTGAAAGAGAGGAGAAGACTCTTAACTTCAACATAATGAAATTTGTTATTTTTTTCCCCCTTATTCCATTTCTGAGTTGCTTTCCTCATTTTGATACGCATTTTTGCTTTTTATTGGTCTGAAGAGTGACTGAATGAGCCTGCTAAGAATTAAAAAAGTGAAAATAATCTACAGATGCATGGATAGACAAAAGATTTATCTTATTTTTCCCTGGCATTTCTTCTTTAGTCTCATTGAAATACACACTCCAGTGGATCCATAGCTACTCATTTATAACGTGCCTTTTAAAAAATAATATTAATTGAAATACCGTCTGCACATATTCCTTTATTTCCGCACAGTGTATTTGACATCTTAAAAGGTTTAGCATCTTGCTTGTGAATTCACAGTACAGATATATCAGGAAATCCAAAATATTAAATTATAACTTCCTTTTGAGATTTAACAGATTTTTTTTAAAAAATTGAACGCTAAACAATAAGATAGCTTATGTCTTGC